GGGGGTTGGAACTAGATGATCTTAAGGTCCTTTCCAACCCTAACTATTCTATGATTCTATGAAAGAAAACCGCTACCTCTTTCTTTAACTGTCCAAAATTGATTATAAGCACTATTCTGCGTAAGCCAAGTATTGCTATTCTTTCACATTTGTGCTTTGTACATGATCTTGATTACCGTCTAGATCTCAGAAATACAACAAGTCTGTCTAAGCCTGTCAGCCATTTTCAAAATAGATTCTTTCATGGTCTTTTGGTTTGTAGTTTGAGAACAGAAAATAAGAATTTGAAAGATAAAAATCATTAGTTATGTAGAAATACATTACAAAATGTTTGCATCATTTTGTACATGTCAAATAAGGAATCATTATGGGATCAGTGAGTATGTGATGAACATATAGAAAGTTTTTTTTTGTCATGGACAAAGGAACATTACATCCTCTTCCATGAACCTCCAGAGGAGAGGCCTGAAACAAGTATTTACTTTTTAAGTAGCATCATTCCTTTCCACACAAGCCAGTATTGAATATCATGGAAAACATCTTGTTGCTAAATGTGTAAAAGTTCCTTAATACCAAACTACAAAATCATAAAGAAAAAAAAAAAAAAAAAAAAAAGGAAGATCACAAAGTTAACAGTAACCAAAAGTAATGAATACAGCTACTCAGTTTGTGGCTCTGTTTCTGATTTCCATTAACAGATAATTGCAGTAAAAAAATACATTTTTTTTTCCCTCTTGTTACTGTTCTCAGGAGAGAAAATAAGGACTGCAAAGGCATTAAGAATTTTATTTTTTTAATATACATTACTATGTTGCCACGGTCCTGAGTTTTGCTTGTATGAATTAAATGTATACTTATATGTATAAAAAGTATTACTTTAGTTCAAACAGGTTTTGTCTTTTAATATAGATTTTTACAAAATTTCCTATACCCAATACATTTTTAAGAACAGGAATTACTAACTATATTACCAGTTTAATATCTACTTTGTAAATTCCAGACTTTCAGTTGTTTTTGTTTTGTTTGGTGGGTTTTGGTTTTTTTGGGTTTTTTTTCTGTGTGTTACAATACAGTGTTATTGTACAGTTGTGGTATGGAGAACTCTTATTAATGTTCAAAACATGCCTACTAGAGAAAAAATGTGTATGCTTTATAAATTACTTAAAATCTGTGCTACCTTTCTGCATGCATACAGTATAAAAATACATCATTGTAAAAGTCTTCAAACAGTAATTTTTACTTACTGAGATATTTTCATGAAGTGATCAGTTACGTTAGTAAGTTTTTAAACAGGCAGAGGTTGCTAATGTTTTGAAATTGTGCCATTATTGAATCCTGCAACATTTCTCTTTTACCCTATATACAGATGTTTAGTTGTGAAACAGTCCTGGCTTCACAAATTGTTAGGGTGTAATAGAGAGTAACTGAGCTGCTCATACTTAATGTTACACATATTGTTACATTTCTGGGTCTTCCTGGGTAGATGTAATGAAGAAGGATCTATTTTCCTTTTAATGATTATTAAAAAAACATGCGGTCTCTTGGCAAACCAGCTTCTATTGCAATCAGAAATTTAGAATACTAGTGTTATGACTCTATAGTTACTTCTATAAAAATAACAGATTAGATGAAATTTGATGTAAATATTTACTCCCCATATGTGTGTATGTGAATGCAAGAGTAGAGTCAGACCTGTGAAGGATTGAATGCAGGTGAGCAGTTATACTTTGTGTTGGTGTGTGTGTTCTGCACTCTAGTGTGGTATTGGCTGGCATTCCCTGGAATAGATGCTGATAAAGAAAAGTGGGGGTGCTCCCAGTTTGAATTCAGTGGCTATAATTAGGAGCGAGACTGAAGGTGGAAATGAATGAGTCTGTGCCAGAAAATAGTGGAAATTTAGAGGAGAGTTTAAGTTGAGACTGCAGATTATTGTGAAGTGTTTGTTGTCACCCTGATTTCTTCTTTCCTTTTCCTTTACTCAGGGAAGAAAGTTTTTCTCCTTATATAACATTTGTTACAATATAATTCACTACTTCCTTGTCCACAGAGAAACTGTTGGCACCCAAGAGCTTCCTAAAACATATCAATACAGTGTGACTTTGTACAACATAAACAGAAGTTCTGTGTGAATCTAAAACCAGATTTTATGTTCCTATTGTCTAAATATCTCTTTTTTTTTTTTACAGCTATAGGTTTGGACTCTTGTCCTGAACCACAGACCCCAAGCAATGGGATTAAAATTGGAGACAGATACATGGTTGGTGATGTGGTGTCTTTCCAGTGTGATCAGGGCTATTCTCTTCAGGTGAGCCAAGTTTTCTATTTAAAATAGTGCATTTTAATGTGGTTGTGTTTGCGTCTGTCAGTATGAAATGGACACTGAGCTCTTCAAGAGTTGTGAAAGTGTGACGAGCTTGCAGAACTGGTAGGCTTTTTTGTCAAATATTAAATTAGCAACTATCCAAATATTCCATCAGAAGTGTATGGCTCTGTATTAGTGGTTATAGATTGTTCTCTATTACTGATGGCATCTTTGGTATTCATAGCTGAGCTATGAAGTGCTGGCAAATCAAGTTAAATCACTTGAGTAATTATCAATTGTTTTTCATGTACAGGAGGAAAGAGGAAGAGATGAGGGGGAATAAAAACGAACTAAAAGAAAGGAAATAATTATTTTTCTCAGTAAGTCAGATAGTGACAGTTATTTTCTTTAAGTAGTTTCTTGAGGGGTTTTATCCAAAAAGTTCTTTTCAAATACAGGTGTATTTTTGCCAAGAAAATTTGCTATGCTCTTGTATTGGCAAAAGGTATAACTAGGAGCAATGCAGTGATCGTAAATCACCAGTAGAAATCTGTCTGTCTGTAGGAAAGTTCTTGAAAGTATTTTAAAAAATTTGTACAGTTACACTGTAGAACTGCATCCAAAACTGTGTGTTGTTTACACCTGAGTCCCTGAAAGGAGTGAAATTCCAACTGATAGGTTATTGTTTTTAACAGCTATATTTTCTCATGTGTGACTCTGCAGACTACAGTTTCCACTTTATCTAGCTGTTTGAGACTGTAAAAAGAGAGAAAACAATCACATTAGCCATGCTTAGTAAGTCTTAAAGAGAGAAGATGTTTTGTATATAACAGCATATGATTAACTGCTAATGATGTTATTGATACCTTTGGAGTAAAACAGCAAAAAGATAGCTTACCTGAGTTTCTTTCTTCCTTAACATCTCTTTGGCCTGCAACACATGTTGATGAGTGTCAAACTGACTGAAGTTTTAAAAAAGCTAATAATTTCAAACATTTTTTTTATGTAACATTTAAAACATTTATTTTTCCTAAGTAAGTCTGTGAAGACCTGAATACCAGGGTCATATGTGCTGCATCAAAAATACAAATGTAATTAATTTTTTGGATATTGAAAGAAAAAACCCTGCAGTTTATGAATTGTGATAGAACATAAACTTGTCTGCTTCCAGATCTCAACTGCCATTTGGATTAGGGACATGTTTCCCAGGTTTCCCAGTTTCTCCTTCAAAACACAGTTCCTAGTCATTGCTGAAGCTTTGTAGCATTTTAAGAATTAACTGAAATATTCTGTGGTTGCAGCTCTGACAATGACTGTTGAAGTTTACTTTTTATGTTTTTAACTGGTCATTCCTGGGAACAACTTCTCAATTATTTTTTAATTAGTTTTTTCTTTTTTTTTAATTTCATACTTAAGTACAAATATGTGAGCCCACAAGCCATAGCAAGTGCCTGAAATAAAGAACTGTGCAAACACAGATGTAAAAATTTCTTCCCTCCATATTGTTTTTCTAGCTTATATACTATTTTGCCACTTGTTTTTATGGTGGTTTTTGGAACTTACCTGTAACAGATTGCCTTGAAATCATAACACCTCTATTGTAAAGGAACATATCGTAAAATTTTCTTGACTATTTCAACATCTTGTAAAATTTTCTTGAATATTTCAACTTAAGCCTGCTGTTTCAAGAATGAGCATAAGGACTGCATTTAGAATACGTATTAGGAATTTAAGATGTAAAGTCAGTACTGCATAATGTATATAGTTCATAGCTTTTTACCATGTTCAACAAATGATGCAAATGTAATGTTGCTTCTGTTAGGCCTTTTGTTTCTAGACCCTTGGTTTATACTAAAGCTGGTATTATACAATTCAGTATTACACTGTTATAAATAATATTAAAGACACAGACACAATTCTCTAGTAGGCTAACAGCACTGCAATCTTCTCTGTTGTATTGAAGGTGTGATACAATTTACAGTGTACAATAAAATTGTTATACCTTATTAGTTTTACATATTTTGATGATGCTTTAAATTATAAATATATTCTGGAAATAGTAATGATATGCTGTATTTTGTATTTTTTTTATTATATGAGTTATCAAGTATTGTGTCATTTTAGGGACATTCACATATTACCTGTATGCCTGGACCAGTGAGAAGATGGAATTATCCGATTCCAATATGTTTAGGTATGTTCAGCATACATAAACTTCCTTAAATATACCAGCATGAGAAAGCCAGAGGACTCAGAAATAAAGAGATAGATGTAGGAGAAAGAATAGGGGGAACTAGAAGAACTTAATTAGAAGTGAAAATGGTCAAATTAAACCGAAGATTTTCAAAGTATGCTGCAGTTATTTTGGCAAGCCTTTTCTGAAATGTCCAATCATAAAAAGAAAGAATGAAGTATGTTCTAGTCAGAATATATCATCAACTCACTATCAGTGATGTGACCTCCAGAGACTTGCAAACATAGTTAATTTATTTATGAATGATTTCCCTAGCAGAGTGATGACCGTTATTCTAAAACAGAAATAGCATTACATTTTCATCTCTAATAAGTTCAACATAGGCATGTCTGCCCGATTTCAGAAGATACATTATTTTTCAAATTAAACTACATACATGACCATATTAATATTATTGGAAGAAGCAGTGGAAGCCTGCCAGAAGCACAAATAATACATCTGAAGTGCACTCGAATATATTCTCTTTATATGATGAATAAATCTGAGGTATGTAAACTCTTTCCATCTGCATTCTCTTTCACTGAATAGGAATGCCCCTTTTTTAGGTTCTTAACAGTAAAAGTAAATATTTGTAATTTTTAATGTATGGAAAGCAGGATGATGCAGACCTCATTAAAGATTTTATACTTTGCTTTTCTTCAAACCAGATTATGTATCCTCTTGAGTTGTCTTGCATAATCCTGTTCTTAATCCTGTGAGTTGTTATAACCTCCTATGAGGTACTGAGCTCCTTCAGCTTAGAATTTATAAATATTCAAAAAAATTCAGATATTTGTAAGATTTTTCTCAGGAGTTAGTCTTCAGTTTCCATCATTATGCAATAACATATGTCTAGGAAGTCTGATATGATAACTGTACTGCTCTGTGGTAAATTCTGAAGACAAGGATGCTGTGCTGAAATTTCAGGGCATTTTTTTCTTTTTTTCCTTCTTTTTTGCAAGTAATGATTTTTAATTGTTTCAAAGGATGTCGCAACTGTTACTTGGAAAAACCTGTTAAACAAAATTGTATTTACTAGAATTAGCATCTTCATATCCAATATTGAAGTGTAAGGTACTTTATATGCTGATGCCATGCTGGAAAAAAATAAAATAAAAATATGTCTTTTGTTCAATTCCCAGAGATATATATGATTCTATGATTCTGTGTGTGCATGAATATTTTCTAAATCTTATTTTATCTAATTTTTAGAAAAGCAGGATACAAATGCAGTTTTTAAAAGGCCTCTTAAAACACTTTGAGTACAGAACCTGTTTAAAATACATTATTACCTTACATTATTCAGATGTTCCTTTACAAACTGATGTGGAGCTGTGTCAGTGTTGCTATGAGTTGATGTGTGCAGCTTGCCTGTTCACAAGGATGGTTCACATGGACAGAGTACTGAGTAAACATCTGTTCTCTTTTCAGGCACAGTGTCCCCCAAATTAAATGCTAATCAATTCAAAGTAGATGCATATTTCTGAAGTACCTACTTATAAGTTACTTTGTTACAAATATTTAGTGGTGAAGGAATGTTTTTGGTTTTTTAAAATAGTTATTATTATATTATTAATGTTGGAAGAATCTTCAGTGTTATGGATTAATTTTTCACTCATTCTACTCCTCTGAAAAATGTCTTTTTTTTTTTGCAGCACAATGTGGTGGTGCCATGTCAGACTTCAGTGGAGTGATCCTCAGCCCTGGGTTTCCTGGCAACTATCCTAGCAGTTTGGATTGCACATGGACAATAAAGCTGCCTGTTGGTTTTGGTATGTGTTCTTTTGTGGATTTATTTTGTTAGGGTTTTTATGGATTCAAAACACTAAACATCATAGTTTTTCAAGTATTATGAATATTTATCCTGGGGGAAAAAAAAAGAATTATAATTAATTTAAGGAAGTTATCAAAACCTTAAAAGAAAACTACAGAATAGAAAAGCTACAAGGTTCTTGTTTTTTTATTTAACATATACTATAATTTTCTGATAAAGACAAATATTTTTAATTAAAATCAAGCACAGTTTTATAACTTAACAGGCTTGGTTTCTCTTTGTGAGGTCATAAACCCAGCAAAAATAAATAGCTATCACAAATATTTTAAACCAAGTCAGTATCACTTTAGGAGAAGTTAAAGCTACATTTGAATTCATTATTTTATCATTAAGCTTCTTTGCATATACTAGGTGAATGTCGCAGCAGCATACAAATGTTATTGGAAGGGCCCTCTAGAAGCCTTTCACTCAAAGTTGCCAAGCTTCCCACTCAAAGTGAAATTGTCAGTAACACTAGATCAAGTCCACTACAGCTGACAGATACAGCTGGGTTACTACTCAGCTAATCAATTCCCAGCCTGTAACAACAGATAAGGATGTTGTGCTCCAAATGCAGAACTTCACACTTCTGCAAACCCTTAAGATGGGCTTGTTTTCTTAGTCCTCAAGTTTTTCAGTGTTCTTCTGGACAGAAGTTGCGCCGTTTAGTATATCATCCATGCCCCCTAGTTTACAATCCTACACATAGTTGTTGAGGATGCATTCCAATTATGCAGGTTTCTCCTGAAGAATGAAGACATTGAATAATGTAAGCTCCCATATCAACCTGTAGAATATTGCGGTTTTAACTGGCTGCCAACCAGACATTCAATGACTGGCTATCATCCTTGGAGCCTTAAAGCTCCACTAATTTTTAACCTACTTCCTCTCCATTCACCAAGCTAATACATATTCAGCTTCCAGATGAGACTCAATTAGAAGTCTGAGTGAAAAGCCATAGCAGGGTGAAAATATGTTATATCCACCATTCTCCTTTTGTCAGTTTAATCACAGAATGAAACAATGGTTCATTAACTGTGATTTTCTGTTAATAAATCTATGTTGATTACTCCTGAATCCCTTTTTGTCTGTTATGCATTTGGAAATTTTCTCCAATTAGACAAGTTCCATAATCTTTCCATGGACTGCAGTGAACCTGCAGTTGGCATTGCCCATTCATGTCTTAAAGGTGGATATGTCTTCAGACTTCTTTTACTCACCAGAACTTCTATCATTCACCATGATTTCACATAGGTAATATCAGAATTTCAATTACATAGGCTAACCTCTTGAGCAACTTCGGGTGGATCCTACATATCTATCATTGTATAATGTTTATTCAAAGTTAGCCAATAGAGTTGTCCCATATAATTTTTACACCTCTGGCACTTCTGCAGCAGCATGTGCACCTGTTTTTTTTCTTTATATGCTACTTGAATGGCATGCTGTTTTTTCACAAGTTCCTTGCTGTTTTCTATTTTATACTTGTCATCTTCTGTAATAGTCTTTAGTTGATTATACAGAATTTCTGCGTCTTACACAGTAAGTGAATGTGACATCCTAAATAGTTTTCCTTTCTGCATCTATTCAGATTCTTTATCTCCTCTTTTTAAAATCAGTTCTGTGATCTTTTTGTTTATATGTCCTGTGAGCCCAGTTCACTTGTGATTTAAATGAAAGCTAGTTGTTCTGCATGGGTTGTTTAAATTGAAGAATGTTAAACATACAGTAACACTGACTTAACAGAATTTATCTGTGGGAAATACATTATGTCAGGATAGAAATTTCTTTAAAGAACCTGATTTTTATGTTTGCATTTTGTTCAAATGACACGTGATACAAGTCAATAACTGATTTTTAGTTTAAGCATTCTATAGACATAGCATTGACTATTTAATTCTGCCATTACCTGAATTATTACAGCTTGATGTAACAGCTGTTTAATCATGAGTTATAATGCTGTCTAGAATTTGCAGATCCCAAGCAGATCCCTGATAGGTGAGTTATCAAAGAAAATTACAGAAGTAGTAAGTGCATCATCCCTGGGTCAAAGTCATAGGGAAAAAGGATATTCAGAGCTATACAGGAACAGGATACTTTGCCAGATGCTTCCAAAGGTATTTGCTAAAAACGAAGAAAGAATAAAAAGCTGGAATATAGATTAAATTTCAAATTCCATAATGTGGCGTGATCAACTGCTTAAAAAAACTGCTGTCTTTTTATCCCAAGTGTGTTGCCTGAGGGTGGTGAGACACTGGAACAGCTTGGCCATAGAAATTGTGGATGCTCCATCCCTGGAAGTGATCAAGGACAGGTTGGACAGGGCTTTGAGCAACACAGTCAAATGGAAGGTGTCCCTGCCCGTGACAGGGAGGTTGGAGCTAGACGATCTTTAAGGTCCCTTCCAACCCAAACCTTGTTATGGTTCCATGGTTCTGCCTCTCGCCTTAATTTACTGCTATCCTCCTGCTTTTCCAATACTGACTCCTTACTCCAATCCATTTGCTTTGCTTGCGGTCTCCAGGCTTATGTTTCTGTTTCTCACTCCACATCCCAATAATTTTAATTTGACTCTTCAGACTCTTATTTAAACTTGTATTACTAACATACTGTTTAATTTCCCTACCATTAGGAAGGAAATTCAGCTGTTGAAATTTTGGAAACAAATTCTTGAATAAAATAAATAAATATCACTCTACCAAAATCAATAGTTCTGCACTGCTTTGTACCAACTGAAGTTTATTCACTGGATTTATGAACTGTTCTCCAGTTCAGGAATAGGAAAACCAAATGCTCCTTTTTCTAAAAGAAAATTAAAGCTGCACAGATTGAAACGTGCTTGACATTTTTGACCATTTTGAAACAAGATACGGTTAAAACTGAATTGAAAATAAAAATAAAATTTCATTGAAAAAATGAAAAATAAAGACATATGAAAAAGTGATGGCTTAAACTGGTTTTAGTGATGCTGTGGTTCTAGTTCAGTAGTGGTACATATATCTAACTCTTGAGTAGTAAAGCAGGCTTTCAGTTGTTTTAAGTGTTTCTGACAAGATTTTATTCCCAGTTAGAAGTTATGGATTGTAAGCTTTTACACTTTGTGTTAGCTAATGGTGTAGTCTAAACCAATGACAGACACTATGTGGATTTGGAGTCAACATACAAGGTTACTTTATACAATTTGTTGCTATCCTTTCTAAGATTCATGATTAGGTTTTTATGTGATAAGTACTCATTCAAGTGGAGTGTCCAAACTAGAAAAAGCCATATTAAAAAACAGTCTAAAAAGCAGAATTCTAGGACAAACAGAGGCAGGTGCTACAGGCTGAGCAAAGCATGAATACTTTGGAAGATGGATATGGTTCAGAACTTGTAGTGAAGGACAGTAGGGTACAGAGAGCAGAATGATGGGCAAAAATATATTAGAGCTGGTTTTGTATCAGACAAAGTGGGTGAAAGAGAAAAAAATTGACAGTAAAATTGTATGAGTTAGCAGTTATTAATGACAGCTTACAATTTGGACAAGTGCTTGGTTCACAGGATCATATAAAAGGCCAAGCCTACAAATATCATGGATATAGAAGAGCAGAGTTTGAATATAACTGGATTCTCTGTGTAGGAAATATTTGGAAGGCTGGCAAAGTCAAAGAATGACACTGTCCTGGGTTCAGCTACAGCAGTCATTTTTTCTCCTTCGTAGTAGCTGGTGCAGTGCTGTGTTTTTGACTTTCAGTCTGGGAACAATGCTGATAACACCGATGTTTTTAGTTGTTGCTAAGTAATGTTTACTCTGACCAAGGACTTTCTCAGTCTCATGCTTTGCCAGGGAGGAGGGGAAGCCAGGAGGAAGCAGAGGCAGGACACCTGACCCAAACTGGCCAAAGGGGTATTCCATACCACAGCACATCATGCCCAGTATATAAACTGGGGGGAGTTACCTGGAAGGCCCAGATCGCTGCTCGGGTCGGGCTGGGTATCGGTCGGCGGGTGGTGAGCGGTTGTGTCCTTTTCCCCTGTTATTCCTCTTATCATTATTATTGGTAGCAGTAGTGGTTTGTATTATACCTTAGTTACTGGAGAGCTGTTATCTCAACCCGTGGGAGTTACATTCCTTTGATTCTCCTCCCCATCCCTCCGGGAGCGGGGGGAGGAAGAATAAGGGGGGGAGTGAGCGAGCAGCTGCGTGGTTCCAAATTGCCGGCTGGGCTTAAACCACGACAGACACTTATGAGCAGAAGCTTTCTTATCACATATAAACTATCTTCAAATAGAGACAGAGATGATCAAGGTAACTGTGATTTAATTATGCACCAACCTTTTTTCCTGTAGCATATAAAATGTTACATGCTTCAGAAAACTGTTCATATACTTTACATAGTATCTTGGGACATAGCTCTAAAAGACAGTGACAAACACTATTTAGCTATTACAGTTTAGGAGTTACAAAATTATTCATGACTTTTCAATAATTAATCTAACATTAGATCTTTTCCTTTCAATTTTATATGAAATCATGTTGATTGACTGTGCCAGTAACACCAGTGGGACTCAAGAGTCTTTTTAATGAAACTACTCCATTGTCATTCCATAGCTGCACTAGCTCCAGACAAAATAAAAATTCTGTTTTGTTGTAAATTATATAGAAATATGCATATACAGCAAAATGTTTTAAGAGCCCTGTGACTACTCAGCTGTTGAGCCTTTTCTTTTCCTTGTGCAACATAATCATTGTGATACATCACCTGGTTAGGAAATGTAACTTGCTAATGGATAGTAAGCTACCTTTCTGATCCTAACAGAATCAAATAATCGGAAATTTCTGTTGTCAAGATCATCATATGGTGCAGTGTGTTTGTATGAGAATTTAATAACTGCATACTGATGAATGATGGTTAGATAATATTTCTTGTCACTTAAAAATACTATATATGTTGAGAGATGTAAGGAGTGCGGCCATGTCCTGCGGCCACTCCAGCTGAGGACCCTCCTGGCCAGCTGCTGGAGCCCAGCCTGGTGCCCAGGGGCTCAAGGTCTCTGCCCAGGCGGGGTCACATGGCTGCCACTTTCCTGTTTGCAGATTCAAACAGCAATGAAGCTGAGCACAGACACACATACACAGGGGACTGTAAACCAGGGGGACCCATACTGGGAGGGGTACAGGAATCAAATGATAGACCTACATAAACCCCTGAGGGGATGTGCAGGAGAAATGGGAGCAGGGAGGAACAAAAACGGGGGTAGGCAGAAAATGGCATAAAAGGGGCTTGTTGTGTGAAAAAAGAGGCCAGTCAATACATTTGTCTGACTTAACCCTGCACCTTATCACCAGTCTGTCCTATCATCTCGTTCTTACTGAATCTTAACTGTGTCTCTGTTCAGTCTCATTCCGTATCCTGTGTGCATGTGTGCTGCAAGGACTTAGTGCCAGCTACTGCTGAGACCTGAATCTGTAAGTGGGATTTGGTGCCAGCTACTGGAGTCAGACCAGCAGTGTGGGTGCCCTGACCTCTGGTGCTAGCTACTGGAGCAAGTGGGGGGGTCTCAATGCCAGTTACTGGTGAGACCTGTGCAGGTGTGTGTGTGAAAATTGGTGCAAGCTCCTGAAGACAGACCAGGGCTGTGGGTGCCCTGCAGACTGTGGTGTCAGCTACTGGGAGGGTGAGGGGCCATAGCTCTTCGGATACACTATCTCTGGGATAGAATTCTGTCACTGTTTTTTTCCAGATATGGTACACAAAGTATTTCTTCTTTTACTAGGAATAGAGACTGTTTTATACAATTGAAAACTGGAAAGATTTAACTAAATTGAATGTATTTAATGTTCAGAACTGAAATTTGCCTTATATACAGGAAGATGTAACTTTGCAAAAAAAGTGTCATATGAATAACCTACATTCAATGCCTTAGGTCATGTTAGTATTTCAGTTTTAGCATTTCTTACCTTGCCAGACACTCAGAATTAGTAATGCATGAAGAAAATGCTTCAAACTGAACTCCATGGACTGCATCTGGGAGCTAACACATGCATTTCCACTGGTTACGTTATTTACTGATATTTTCAGTGTACAATATACAAAAGTTATTTTCCCTCCTGGTATTGATATCAGTGGCTTTTATTTACTGATGATATTTTTCAGGTGTCCATTTACAGTTTGTGAATTTCTCGACGGAGACCATACATGATTACTTAGAAGTTAGGAGTGGATCTACAGAAACTAGCACTGTTATTGGGAGACTAAGTGGCCCTCAGCTACCAGCCTCTCTATTCAGCACAACTCATGAAACCAGTTTATACTTTCACAGCGATTACTCACAGAACAAACAAGGATTTCATATTGTATATCAAGGTGAGATTTTTGACATTCTTATGTGAGAACAAGGTGACTGCTGTAGGTTGGTTTTTCTTGGCATTTCTAAAAGATAAACATGAAATAAAATATTTAGTGTGTTTCAAACCAGAGTGTTAACGCATTGAGATCGAATAGAAGAACGCAGAAAATCAAGATGAAAAAGGAAAAATAATTACATAGTCTCTCTAGAAAACAGTTCAAATGTTGGCAAACAGATAATTGCCCATATCTGAATTTGGTTGACTTATTAATTTACATTTCATGGCTTTACAAAGTAAGCATCTCTATTGTTCAATCTTTATAAGCATATAGGAATCTCAATTTTCTGTCTTGGATTCTGGAAGAGAAGGATCGCTTCAACCCTTGCGGTGTTCAAGGCCAGGTTGGACAGAACATTGGGTGACATGGTTTAGTGCGAGGTGTCCCTGCTCATAGCAGAGGGGTTGGAGCTAGATGATCTTAAGGTCCTTTCCAACCCAAACCATTCTATGATTCTATGAATATTGTTTTAGAATACTGGATTGATGTAGGCTAGTACAGAATAATGCCAACCCGGAAATCTCCAAATCTGTTTTATTTCCTAGTTCACAATTTCCCTCCAAGTTTCTTGTTCTGTTGTACCCAAATAGGTCATGCTGAGCTGAAGAAGACTGCAAAATCATTATTCTATTTATATAATTGCAGATTAATTTAAAAGGGATTAGAGCACCACTGTTCACAGAAAAAGGTCAACTATATAGTTTAAACTGTACCTGTTTTCATGATACGAATAATGTCAAAGGATGATTTAAAGAGTTTTTACTTTACAGCTGTCTCCCATTACTCTTTCAACAGTAACAAGTCCAAATTGACTTGACTTCTATGTAAGATTCTGGAAGTGAACCACTGTAAAAAGTGCTAGTTTTTGCGGTTTTTTTTAAAGTCAATTTATGACTTAAATTGGATGGTAAGTTTTTCGCTTCTTATTTGGAATATGGTACAATTTGTAGGAGTAAGGAAATTTACTAGTAGTAAGTAATCTTAATCTTATCTACTGCTAAAGAGGGCAGTAAAAGGCAAAAGCCTATACTACTACTGCTGCTAATAGTAACAGCTTTTAATATAATTTCTAAACAACAGTGGTGCTCTTCCACCTGGATTTCTTTGTGCTTTTAGTCTTGGAAAAGTGCTCACCTGGCAACACTGCATCCCCCTGCTCTATGCCATGACTTTCACGTCAGGACTCTTGGTTGATTCAAGCACTCTAGATTCCACCTTTTGTCTTTTAGGCTCCTATATTGGTGTGAAGGAGCTTTCACGTACCATGCAGTTTAGGCTACATGATTTCCTTTTCCTGTTTATTGTAATTCTGCTGTTTGCCTTTCTCCTGCACTTTTTTTAGAGGTGCATTGGCTGTTAGCCTCCTCCCTCTCATGGCATCACATGTTACAGTCTTCCATAACTAGTTTTTTTCGCACACTTCTAGTTTAGACACTGTTCCTCAGCCTTTTAAATTTTCAGGGTGCACTTGGAGGCAATTTGAAGTTTTAAAGACACAGTCAGTGGCCCTACCTTTTGGAAGATCTAACTAGAGAAAACACAAAATTGAAATTCTCTTATACTCTCTTTTTTACTGCACTACTTCTGTATTTACTGAAATGAAAAGAATTAAGAGGCTAGTCTCATTTTTGCCTTTACAGACTCTGTGCCAAACACCTGTATGGTAGGGTGTTTGGTGTTTGTTTGTTTAATCACAGACACACACACACGCACAGATTATCAAAGTGTAAAGAACAGAAGATCATTTAAACTTTGGGTTAGTATTACATTTTCCATTTGAGGTTTGGAGTTGGAAATTTCTGTGCATATTTCTGTAGTTGCTGTGGGAATATTTCACTGCGTTTCCTTTGGTGTAGGACCAATGGTTTTGATTATCATCATGATGGAACTTAAGACATAGATTTAATCTAATGAAAAGCTTTTATTTTTGAAGTAATAAAATCTGCATTTTACTTTTTCACCCCCACTGTTATTATTTATTTATTTCAGCATATCAGCTACAAAGCTGTCCAGACCCTCGACCATTTCGTAATGGTTTTGTTATTGGGAATGACTTTACTGTGGGACAAACTATTTCATTTGAGTGTTTCCCTGGCTACACATTAATTGGAAATTCAGCTCTGACTTGTCTCCACGGCATCAGCCGTAACTGGAACCATCCTCTCCCCAGATGCGAAGGTATGTTCTGAGTGACCTATGAGCCCCTCATTATTTGTGAATCTTCCTTAGATTCGTGAAAAAGCACAGACACAGTGAAGATTCTCATATTCTAATCTGTCATCCCAAAATCCTACACTCCTGGGATCACAAGATCCAAACACATTTAGCAATTATGTAATTGTCTGTAAAGTTCTCTACATGCCTAAACATAGGCATAGGACCTGAGTTAAAGGCCTGACTTCCCTCTATATTGAATGGTAAAAGCTCAGCTTTAAGAATGGGATCTCCAGCAGCAAGCTAGTTGAAGAGGCATGCCTGGGGTGGGAGGGAAAGGGGAATATCAAACCCAGAAAATAACAAGCTGCCTTCTTTCTGGATTTTTGCATTGTATTGTGAATCATCTACCTAAATTTAGGTACTTAAATCTGAAGGCTCATTACTTAAAATTCTATCCAGAGTCAATGAACCACAGGCATTTCTGAGGGATGTGGTATCTAAATTCAGACCTATCTGGTACTGAATTCAGAAGGAGAAGGCTTATCATATAAAAGACAGATGACACCTATACTGTCGGTCTTTTGAAAGGGGAAGAATTTAATTCGTCACAGTTAAGTTCCAACCTCCATTTTCTGGATCCTGAGGAAACAGTAATGGTTTATGCTTTTCAGCTAAACAGATAAGCTTTTACCTATTACTTACTTCTAGCTGTATTTTCTGTGCCTCAGAGTCAAAATAATTTATGGAATGGAGTGATTCTGTTTCTTTGAATTACCTTACTAGAAGCAAGAATTTAATTAGTAAATTCTAAGATGCCCAAAACATGCTACTGTTCTGAGTATCAATTCTGATGAAGTTCCTGAACAGGGGTGGAAAGTTCTTTGTTTCTACTTAATGTGATGTGAAAAGATGAAGAAACACACACCCCCCCAAGCCTGACTGATAATAGAATTCTAATGTGTGCTATGCTTCATGATTAGATTGCCAACATTACTCAGGTCCCAGCGAAATTTCTTAAATTACAAAGCATTTTATGCAGATATTTACCATGGTATTTTTAGTAAAGGGGTTTTGGCATTTTTATAAGCTACTGATGTTTTTGAGTTTTGTTTATTTTTTCTTTATTGTTGAAGGAAAAATAATTTGATATGTTCTAGTTGTACTTGGTTTGATTTGAGATAAAAGCCTTGTGTTCAAAAGTATTAAAATGAAGCAGGCTTTTTTGTATATGCCTAGTGCCAGAAATGTACAGTATGTTTAAATTTGTATTTGCTTTAATATCATTATTGTAAGGCAGCATATACTAAGTGTTGTTTAATGCCTCAGACTTCTTGAAGCAGACAGCTAGAGTTGTATCACTAAACATGCTTCCTTTGTAAACAGTTTTGTTCTCTTCTTCAGTTATCATGCACCTAGAATCCCTCTAACTTGTGCTCAGCAATATCTACCACTCTCTGACCCTTAACTCATCTCCCTCACTTTCATGCATTTGGAAGCTGTTCACTCTTCTTTCCCAAGAAATCTCATTGCCTGACAATCATCAGCCTATGTCTTCACTCCCCTAAAACCCTGCTGCAAAAGAAATTCTGTCTGTACTGCTCAAAAACCCTCGAGACTTTGAAGCTAGAAGCTGAAGAAAAGCAGTATGCCAGTTGTTGAGTCTGAATGGATGAGGTGTGACTGAAAGTCTCCTTACCCTACAGTTCAGCACCAAAGTGTATATATAAACTGTGACACATACTTTACCTAAAAACAAACAATTCATAATTCCTATATGTCAGAGCTATATTTCCAACAATCTGTTCTCTAGTTATAGGTTCTTCAGCATATTTTAGGGTTGTCATTCCATACCCTTTTTGGGATGGAGCAAGGAGGAATGTATGCAAAATAAAGAAAATTATACAGTTTTAGGATTTGTTCACTTTTTCAGAACTAGGTTTCTATAGCGTAGTTTCTTTTCTATAAGAACAGGGTGGTGTCATATTCAGCATGCATCTGAAACCTCTGTGGAGAAGATCATCTAGTTGCAACATAACAGTTTCCCTGAAATGCATAGTTCCAAAAGTCCAACATCTGTATTGTCAATCTTACACTGTATGATGTCTAAAATTAGTGCACTTCATCAAGAATTACATAAAGGATTTTTTTGTATACCAGAATTTATCTCTGGAAATGCAAAATTGCTGTTCATACTATAGCACACAGTATTTTTAATTTTTGAATTCCCCTCTAATTTTTCCATGTCCTTCACTTAGCATATCTCTTCTTTCACTTGATAATTCCAGTTAGCTACCTTCTTGTGGAAATAAATGAAAGCAATTAATGTGTTTCACTGCTAATTTGTAGCTGTCATTTACACAAGGCTGTAACAAAGTGGTTTTCAATTGTATAGGGAATAATTTAACCTAGTGTCTAAATATTACTTTAGTTTCCAGTTCTGGTAGTATTTATGACATCAGAATTATTTTTTTCTTTTAGATTTTGCCAATAATGTCACAATAGACTTCTGACTCTGCAAAAAGCTCAGTAAATCACAGCAATGGTTTTACACAGTCTAGTTATAGTCTACCAAATGTGTTTAAAAGAAGAGCTTTTACATGGTCTAAGTAGAATGCAAAAAGCAACTAATGCTTTTTTTAAACAAATGTCTTTTTTATAGCTCTCTGTGGAGGAAATATAACTGCAATGAATGGCACCATATACTCTCCAGGATACCCTGATGAGTATCCAAACTTTCAAGACTGCTTCTGGCTTGTAAGAGTACCACCTGGAAATGGAATCTACATCAATTTCACAATTCTTCAAACAGAGCCAATATATGATTTCATAACTGTCTGGTAAGAAAGCATGGCTTTTTTTTTTTATCTTCATGTGACACTATGCAATAAAGTATGGATTAAAAAGAGTATATTTGTGATTTTACCCTTGAAACTGGTGTTCTTTCTAGGGGAAATTTTGCACTAATTCATGTTTTCTAATGTTCCATTCTCTCTAGATAGGACTGGACATGAAGTTGCATAGTCTTTGTCTTAAGAATTCAAAAACAATCATAATGTGCCTCAGTTTGTTAATGAAGTAAATTATACAGAAGAATCAATATGACAGTTCATGAACAACCAAGAGAAAAAATATTTGAGTGATAATAAGCAGTTGCAGATTTGTATATTTCAATGTTTTAGAGTATTAATACAAGAAACTACAGCAACACTTTCTCAATTTCTGACAAGTTGGCTTCTTTTAAACTGTTAAGAATACAGAAAAGGAGAGACTCTTTATTTGGCTATGACAAAAAGAGTTGAGATAACAATAAATGTAAACAAATTCAATTCTCTATATACCTTCTTCCATGTCTATCATGAAGCTTTTCAGACATTAAAGTCTTAATTAAAGCCCCTATTATTCTTAGTTGCAAAGATGGTAAAGGCAGAAGGATGTAAGGAAGTATAACAGCTCCAATAGTAGTCTTGAAACTGTTACTAGTGAATCACCTAGACATTTCTACAGTGGCTAAGACCTTTTGGAAGCTTGCCTAAAACAATAATCCACTGATAATTGAATCTGCAGGTTGAAAATCAACAGGTTGAGAGAGTAGTCTTGCAGTCTGAGTAGTGCAAAATGGTATTTTGGAATATTAATAGTTTTATGTTTCTGTTGCACAAAAATCTAATTTCGATTCATATAAATTCATTTAACTGAGGATTTCATTCCTACTTTCCTAAATATTAAACAGTTCTCTATATACTTTTGTGAACATTTCTGTAGGTCCTGGAGTTTGTTTCATCATGTGTACCACAAACTGTCTTGGTCTGCATCCCAGATACTTGATCCCTTTGCCTTAAAGTCTAACCAAAATTTGATCAGAATATGTACTCAGACTATTGCCCTGATAAAAACCAGATAATTTTGCATTCCTTTAACTCTTCGCCACTTGTTTTGTGTATCAAATTCAGGCTAACCTTCAGAATCTTTCCTGAATTAAATCACAATTTTGTGCGCGTACAGACATCTTTTCTCTGTTTTCTCTCACAAATACTAGAACACCACTGTCCACTTTTAATGTTTCTTCTATTTGGCTCTTCCTTTCTACCAAGTGATTTCATGTGCTTACAGTTGTCCTGGCTGCGTTACAAATTTAGATCTTGCACTAAAATTAATTGTATATACTATGAACCAGGTTTTTTTCATTATGTGTTCTTTGTTGATATTTTAAAATGTTTTGTATCCTGTTTAGATTAACATCACTTTCAGGAGAATATTCTGAAATAAAAGCATCTATTATACTGTTCATTTATATCTCATGTGTGTAAACATACACATGATGGCTATATAGTTATATCTTTTACGCAACTTCTGGGATATTCTTTACTTACAGAACTGATTATAATTTTTCTAGCAGTTTCTAATGGAAAGAAAAAGACATTTGACTCGCAATTCAGATGCTTCTTGACATCATACTATTTCCCTGATACAACAGAAGGGAAAGGGGCAGTGGGTGAAAATTTGGACAAATACATTACTGCAAAGTTTTCAAAACAAAAAAATAACTTTCATTTAATTTTATTTCAGATTTCAGTTAGAATATCTTATGCCAGAAACAATTAGGAAATTTAAACTTTAATTATTTAATGTTGGTCAATTTTGATCTAGAAGGGAGTGAGTAAAAAAAAAATAGTGGCTTTGCATTATGTTTCTGTCCTCTGTACAGTTCCACTGTTGTTTAGAACTAAGTTTGGTTTATTTTTTCTATTGAAGTGAGTATTTCAGTCTTCCATAAGGTAGCAATGATCTTACCAGCAGTACATGTATTTAAAAGATAGAATTATAACATTTAAATGGGGCGGGGGTGGGGGGGGAGGGTAAGAAGTTAGGTTAAAAATACTGAAAGAATTTCTAAATGTAGCATTCTTAAAATCATCCTTATAAATAAAATCATCTTTTGTAAATTTCCACATGCAGATTTGAAGTAATCTTGTATTCGTTAAACATTTTGGTTTTATTTTTAATCAAGCCAATATTAACTTATTTTCTTCTTAAAATTGAATAATGTTCATCTCTTATTTTTCTTAAAAATGACCAAATTCAGAATACTAGGGGACATGAGAGTATTAGGTTTATTTATTCTCTGATAGGCACATTTGAAAATATAGATACTTAAACATGAGCAGTCTGTGACAGGAAATTGTACAGTCAGAAATTATTTCTTTGAACAAAGAAAGACTTCTTTGTACCTGTTTTCTTAGGGATGGACCAGACCAAATTTCTCCTCAGATTGGACAATTTAGTGGCAACACTGCATTAGAATCAGTCTATAGCACTTCCAATCAGATTCTGATCAAGTTTCATAGTGACTTTACTACCAGTGGCTTCTTTGTACTTAGCTATCATGGTAAGTGTGACAAACTGCAGTATTTCATGTGAAGCTGTGAATGAATGAATGAAATAAAGCTGAATCATCATCTACCATGAGTAGGAAATGTTTCCTTGCTAATGAGAGATGCTATATGAAAATGTAGTTTCTGTGAAAACCAGACTCACTGATCAACCTGAGTGTACACCATTAAAATGTAGATGACTATACATACTATCAGTATAAGTACTTCAGTGTGATTTCTTTGGCCTATTTCTGTCCTAATTGCATTCAGATTGAAGAGAATTTTGTCTGTGTTCAAACACAGGCCCATCTGCACAGGTTCTCTGTGAAAAAAATACAGCTATATACCTTCTGCCTATTCTTCCTATTTGCCTTTTTTATCATTTGCTTCACTTAATTATTTTGCCCAGCTGTTGCATACATATGTTTCATGTGAAACGTACATATTATTTCATGTGATACTTCAAATTTTAAGTTTGAAAGCAAAATTCTTCTCTGAACCTATCTGCAGGTGAGATGGGCTCCACAATATTTATTTACTGGGAAATTTCACATTCCAACTGTTTCCGTCCATCAGTTATGCTTCATGTAGGTAGAATCTTTTAGATTCTAAAACTTGTCTTTTTTTGCAGTTTTAGAAGTGGAAGTGTTCAGCCATAAAAATGTGTTGTAAAAAACCCAAACCAAAAAAAAACAGTGATTGCACAATACATGAAATATTTGCTTTTCAGATGAGATCATGTAAGTGAGAAAATTGACAGCTGTTTCTAAGCTTCTTAGTTTTCTAAGCTTCAGTTTTGCCACTGAAGTTAAATAACTAGGATCACAGGTGCAACTTTGAATTTTTCATTAATTCTGAAATTAATATTTCAGTTTTTAATTCTCTTGAAAGTTTCAAAGTAAATGAATAGGTGTTTGGTTTTTATCCTGTTAATGTGGTTATTGAATCAGTTATGTTTGCATGGCTGTGTTAACTAAGTATGGGAATGTCAACTGTGCTTTCTTTCTGTTTATAGCCTATCAGCTCCGGGTGTGCCAGCCTCCAACAAGTATACCAAATGCTGAAATTCTAACTGAGGATGATGAATTTGAAATAGGTAACAGAAGAGAAAATAAAAGGAACTTTTTTTTTTTTTAATTAAAATAAAACACAACAAACCTGCCATGGACAGACATTTCTTGCTTTTCAGGGTGCAAGCCATGCTTGTAAAATGTTAGATATATATTTAAAAATAAATTTTTTACAAAGGTATTCCTCTTCCTTTAACTTCCTGAATCCCATATATATAAGTAACACAGTAATTTGTTTCTAATTAACTTCATTTTAAAATATATTTCTCATAATGTTTAACAGAAAACATTGCTTTATACAGAAACAAACAAAACCCACAAGAATACATATAGACAGTGGTTTATTCTGTAGCAGATATCAAGTATTGTGACCTGAAGAGTAAAATCAAATTTGTAAAAATTAGGAAGATCTGAGAAGGGGATGACATTCTCGCCTTCTAAGACATGTTAATAATATTACCTAGATATGTATCTGTCAAAGAAATATGATTTGTATGCTCAGATGTCAAATATCAGATCAACTGGTTTTGCTCACATGATGGCAAAGAAAAATAAATTTATTTTTAGTAGAGTCCAATATTTGATTAATTATACTGGTAACAAAGAGAAAAACATCAAAATTTTTAGTCTCATTGGTACATAAAACTATATGAATTTTTAATTTCTTAATTAAAAATGACAATTTCTAATCTCACTACACCAACTAAATCCAGTTCTTATTTATTTTTCCCTCTCTCAGGATTGTATGAGTTACTGACTCAATCTTATCTGTTTATTTAATTCATAACAGTTATCCAATAAATGAGATTGCATAAAGCTTCCTGGACACATGGTTCACAGAGCACCAGTCAAACCCAGACAAATTAGCAAACTATCCAACAAATAATGTGGTGGAAAACAGTGATAGATGCAGCACAGTGTGCAACACAATGCTCATTTACCACATTTCTTAGACTAATCAAAGTTGTTTATGCCAGAGGTCATTTAGCCCATTATATACAATGGCAAGAAACTTCATTAATCAATAATGTTTTCAAAGCAAAAAGTCTCAGTTAATTGCTGTTTAATGTTTCTTTTGTTTGTTTGTGTTTTGTCTTGTTTTGTTTTTCTGAACAGGAGACATAATAAGATACCAGTGTCAACCAGGCTTTACATTGGTTGGTAATGAGATTCTGACTTGCCGACTAGGTGAAAGGCTTCAGATGGATGGAGCACCACCTACTTGTCAAGGTTTTTTTATCCTTTTTCTTTTCCTCCTGCCAGACCAGCTGAATGGGATTCCTTAAATACTCTCCACTATGTCTGTACCAAAGATGGCATACTGAAAGTATTTCAGACTTTTTGATACTATTGCCAGTGCAAGCACTGTTGGTTATGGTGAATATGTGTCATATATTAATGCAAAATAATGAGTAATGTTTTAATAAATTTGATAAGTTTAAAGGACAGCTGCTCTCCTTTGTGAAAATAATTTTTGAAGGGAGTCTAAATTTAATACAAGACATAATAGTAAGAAAATTTATATGGAAATTCTAAAATATGCTGAATTAATATAGCATGGATTTGGGTGAACAAGATCCCAACACCATTTTTCAGTGCAACTTTAAGTGCTTACTTTTTTATTCAATGTATTCTAAAGAATAGGTTTTCTGTATTTGTGTGTGTGCCCATGTGCCCATGTGGTTCATGTTTTCCACCTTTTATTGAAGCTGTGAATAGAGAGGTATAACACTACCTCATTGTTAAGGTTGAAGCAAGATTAAAACCTGACAGAGACATACGTGCTGATCCTGAGGCAATCTCTCAGCATTTGTTGCTGAAGGCATATTTATATTTGTCGTAAGACCCAAAACAAAATTTTGTGCCTAAAATTTGTCTTTTATATTTTTATTACATTACACTAGTTTATGTATTAGCTATCATACTTTAATTGTGCAGGCTAAGCACAAGTATCACAAGTAGCCCATCACTGTAGTTTGGCAGCCAGATTCTAGCCATAGGAGTTTTCTCATGTGGAGGTGTAATAGTCAATCTCTTCTTGATGAATTGAGACAAACACAGGACATGAGAAACAACTCTTTAAAGTTGACAATTAAATGCTAATTTTGAAAGTGAGAGATGAGTATTTTAAAATATGTGGACAGATTGCTTTCATTTTTTCAAGGTCAGGTTGGACGGCTCTTTGAGCAATCTAATCTAGTAAAAGATGTCTCTGCCCACGGCAGGGGGTTGGACTAGATGATGTTCAAAGGTCCCTTCAAACCACAATAATCCTATGATTCTATGATTCTTATGAGGTTTGTTTATGAAGGTGATTGCTCTTTATTGCTCTCACTTTCTCTTCTTTTCTGTGTTCCTGTCTTTGTAATCCAATGACTTTTCCCCCATAAAAATCTGATTTTTGTATTTAATAAGCCAACATTTTTGCAGTGTTCTGGAGAAATCTAAGATCCAGTTATTTTTTCTTATAACTTTTAACAGCTGAGTATTAACTCAATTTTGTGTGTTAGTTGTGAATAGAAAAAAGCCCAGATTTTAAGGTTCCTGCTTAGTAGTGTTCAGTTCTGAATAAACTGTAGGCACTCATTCATTTATCATGAAGCAAAACCAGTTATTGGAAAAAGTTCCAGTGTCATGGTTTAACCCCAGCTGACAACTAAATATTGCACAACCTCTCACTCACCCCGCACCCAGTGAGATGGGAAGGATGATCAGAAAAAGGTGAAAGCAGTGGGTTGAGATAAGAGCAGGTTAATAATTGAAATAAAGTAAAATGTAATAATGCCATTACCACTAATAGCAACTGTAATGAAAATGGAGACAACAAACAGAGGGAA